TAAACTTCAAACCTGTCTTCTACAATTTGATCTTAGTTCCTTTCCTAGATTATAAGCGGATAAGCGGAACGATTTTGTAGGTTAGGTCGATAAGAGAAAAAACAATTGAGTTCCGGCACTGAGAGAAGCTATGAGCTGATTTCTAAGTCGATATTCGAAGTTAAATGTATGATTAATGAGTCACTTGAGAAACAATTGTCACTTTGAATTCTACAATTGAGAGAAAACAACAAATGATACGCACTTTCTGAAGTCCAGCCGAGCTGGATCAAGGCATTCAAGCGGACGGCTTTTACTTGCAAAAGTTAGAAATGGATAAGAATATTCTTTCGTGTGTGTTTTAAGTGTACGATAAGAGGAATTCGTAAATTCACATCTCGCAATCTTCGGATCGTACGCACTACGTAGTTTTGTTCCGAACGGAACGATGCACGTCGCGCTTCGCGCACTGATTTGCGGAGTCATCAAATTCCTGCGTTCAGAGACAGAGAGCGCTAGCGTCGTTCCCTGTCTGCTAAAATCTTCGGTCGCTTGATACGAATACCCAGTCGGCAAAACGAAAAACTTCGGGACGGAGAACGAAAAATGCTCAGATCAGCAGACAAAGGCCAATTTGGGACCACGGTGTGTTATGCCGAACACGCCCGCATACGCCCCCGAATATTCAGTTCCTCACGCCGAAGTCGGGCCTACCGAACCGGTCGGCGCAGATCCCCGAACTTTTTTTCTCCGTGTAATGTTGAACTGACTTTGACCTTACTGAGATAATGTGGAGGCAAATCCAGAGGAAATTGGCTTATTTCGCAGGAAAATTGAATGACCTTTGAATTGACGTATTTGGGGGTCCGAGCCCCCCCTTAAAATTAAATCGAAGTGATTTTTGCAATTTTTACGTAAAAGAGAACACAATTTGGTAAATTTTCCCGTTTTATTTTTTTCTTTACGATAATTTGAACCGGAGTTATGATTTTTTGAAAATAGGTCAAATTTGACCTTTGACCTATCATAACTCGGTCAAAAATTAAGATATTGATCTGCGGTTTGCGCCAAAATTCTTAGTTTTTTATGCTGTTTCGAATGAGGTATCACAAGATAGGGGTTGCTATTTGAAAAAAAAAGTTGGGGGGCCCCTGTCCCCCCCTGAGGGGGGGACCAAAATTTTGACCCCCTCAAAAGATGGTCCCCTTTGAGATAGGAACATTCCCAAAGTTTCATTTCCTTAGCTCAATTCGTTCAAAAGTTAGAGGGGGGGTCGGGGACTTTTCGCTCACCCTGTATGTTTTAGCTATATAAAGTGCTCATTTTTCTGTATCTCGGTTTTCATATTTTTCATTAGCCTATACTCCCATGGAATTTGTTAGTTACCAAAAGTTACTTGTCGACTATATGATGAGTCATTCGATTTTCGCGAAGAGTGGCTTGCCTCCCGGGAAGCAGGACTATCAGAATAAGGTTAAGACCGGTGGGTGCAAGCGGTGACGGTGAGCCGGATGAATTTGATGAGAACGATGATGAAGCGCTAAGTGTATTAGATACGAAGGAAAGTGATCAAGGGACAAAATGAGAGTTTTACCAGATCTTTAGAGAAAGTTCTGGATCCAAAGCAAGTGTTGAACTAGGTGCTCACCTTCTAGGCTCAACTTTTAATGCAGCACCTAAAACTGCAGCTGAAGCTTCCACGCATATGGGAAAGAGGTGTGAAAACAACGGAGCACCAACCAACTTGATACTATGAAATGTGAATGATACCGTAATGTAATGCGTGATAAATAAGTGTTGTATGTAACTCAAATGCAACCTAACAGGAGCAAACCGCGTAAGTCAATATTTTGAAAGAACATTTCCCTTAAAGAAAGGGAGAATCACAATTTTTTCCATTCAATATCATTCAATAGCTTTCTACTTTTATGACAGATGTCTGATGGAAAACGATTGCAACGTGGTACATGAAGATCCTTGGCTTTTTAAAGTCTCATTACTGATGTGCAAGTCATTTGTGTTCCGTCGTGCGTTGGTTACATTTTCACTGTTTTGTTTTATCTATCTCTGTCCCTCTTATTTTCAGCAAGAGTGAGAGGCGTGAAGCTAATGCATTTCCAAGAAGCTGGAAAGGGATGCATTTCAAAGCACGCTGCACTATGGCTGCACTGCCTCGCGCAAAGGCCTTTGTTTCAAGGGTCACATCTGTTGACCAGATGATCACCCACCCTTTTCAGTTCCTCTGCTTTCTTAGCGCTCCTTAAATCAGTCGCAACCAACTTCTCACGCGCGGTGGAGCAGGCTCAACTGCCCTGCATTCCCTGTTTCTCTGATTTACAACGATACACTTTTTCGATTGAAATCGAATCCGTTTTCAACTTCCTATAACCCTTTAATTATAGCAGTTATAGGCGTTCCGTTAAAGCGAACAATTTGTTTATACAATTTATGGTTCCTACTTGTTTATTCTTCCCTATCTTTCAATTTCTGTTTCAAAAATTGCGGGTGATATGTGATATTTTCGTACTTGCCGATATTTAGGCTATCGTGTTGACCCACAAATAAATCGACATTTCCAGACATATCATGGACACATGGGAAATATCCCCCTCACTACCAGTTTCTGATATCTTAGTGAGATAGGCGGTGACTCTGATATCGGTGGTGCACCTCCTGTAGAGGGTACATTCTCTTGTTGATAGTAACTCCTCTGACAGTGATGGTGTTAGTGCTGTTGAAAATGGGCTAAGAGCACAGCGAGCCATGAAGCACCATGAGACACACTTTGCATGAGATGACTTGCTGAAAATCTTGGAGGCTGCTCACTCATAATGGTTTCTCCCGACTTCACACCGATGCTCGCACCATCTCACGCACCCCTAGGGCCAAAGTTGACGTAAACTAAGTTCCCCCCTCCCCTCCCCTCCCCTCCCGCGGGGGAGCGTCTTGAATTTATTTTTAGTTTGGTGCCGAATAATGCTGATTTGTAATGTGGATGGAATATCCCTCAAATCAAGTAGTTTTTCAGAGGTCTGAGTGATTACTTTCAATTTACCCACATTACCAGTACTTAGAACCACGGTTTTCGCGGTTGGGCTGTATGGTGGACCCTTCAAACCAGACATAGAGTCAAAGCTTTTCTTAGGCCTTTCGTTGATGGACTAAATGCACAACGGGCGCGTTTCTATTAAAAATTTTGGATTCGATTGTGACACACCTGCACAATTATATTGATGGTCCAGGCGGAAGTGGGAAAACTGTTCTCCTCCAATTCATTGCAGCGAAGCTGCGTCTGCACAATAAAATAGTTCTTTGTACAGCGTCAACGGGAAAAGCAGCTTTAAATTACGACGGAGGTTTAACTGCTCATTCTATGTTTAAAATTCCCGGCCACGATTTAAACGATAAATCCGGGTGTAATTTAAGTTGTCGAAGTCAGCGTGCTGATCTCATTCGTACAGCTTCGCTGATAATATGGGATGAATTGCCGGTGACCCATAAGGATGCAGTAGAAATCGTTGATCGTACTTTCAGGGATTTCGTCGGAACAAATAAACTGTTTGGGTCTAAAAATATTAGTTTAGCTGGAGATTTTCGACAGATTCCTCCAGTTATAAAATATGGCAGTAAAAACGAAGTTCTACAAGCAGTTATTAAAAATCCATACATTTGGAAGGAACTAACACGCTATAAATTAAAGACTTTAGTGCGTAATAAGAACGATCAAACGTTTGCACAATTTCTGTTAAAAGTTGGTGACGGACAGGCGGAAAACATTTCATTTATCGAGGAACAAGTCATTGCGTTAAAAGATTTTCACTGTGATTTTACCGTTCAAAGCTAATTGATAATGTATATCTGACCGAAGTTTTGAACAATTATTCTCATCTCTCTCAAAGAGCGATTTCATCTGCTTCAAACCACAATATCGATCAAATAAATGCAACTGTGCTTCAACAAAAGATTGAAAAATCAGTTTACTTACTCAGTGCTGACTCAGCTGTAATTGATGATGGTTCTCCAGACAATGAACATATTTCAGCTGATATTATAAATAAAATTTCGGAGTCTGGAGTTCCAGATCACAATCTAAAAGTTAAAATTGGAACTATGTGTATTTTAAATAGAAGTTTGAATTTTTATGAAGGATTAGTGAATGGCACCAAACTCATCATCCAAAAAATCCACCGTCATCATCTTTTGGAAGTTTTTATTCCGGGTCAGGAATCAATCACGCATTTAATTCCAAGAATGATCTTTAAATCTACAGCAGGGAACTCGGGAATAGAAATTTTGAGACGGCAATTTCCCATAAGATTGGCTTATGCGAGAACAATCAACAAATCTCAAGGGCAAACTTTGGATATGGTCGGAGTAGATTTAGGGGAACATGTTTTTGCTCATGGCCAATTGTACGTAGCGCTAAGTCGGGCTCGGGAATTCCAGCACGTTACCATTCTGACCAGGAAAAGTCGAATGATAGACGAGGTTACCGTTGGTACCATGAATATTGTTTACAAAGAACTTCTAGATTAATGTTCCTCAGCCATTATTGAAAAATTTCTTTGTTTTTCTCTTGTAAAATTACCGCAAATTCAGATACATGTTTCCCGAGTTTAGCCGTCAATATAATGCCTCTATTAATACCACCAAGTCATGTACATCTAGCTATTCCTCATCATTTTCTTGCAAAATTACCGCAAATTCAGATACATGTTTCCCGAGTTTAGCCGTCAATATAATGCCTCTATTAATACCAAATCATGTACATCCAGCTATTCCTCATCATTTACAAATCTGTAGTGAAAAAAACGTCCCAAATAAGGGACGATTGGAATCGTAAGTTCAACATGAAATCTATGTCTAGTTCGCTGCCGTTGGAGGTGTTCATGCCGAAAAATCATTTTGATACATTATCCAATTTTCTTCAAAAAGCTGAGTGTTACGTTAAAAATTGTGTAAGATTTATAATGCTTTACTAGATGAAACTTTGCGACATTGCATTTAATTAGTCCATTGAGTTCTTACTACTTCCGTCATAAAAGTTTTGCCGAGATTTGTTGAGTAAATATTATCATGAAAATATGAATTTTAGCCCTTTCTAGGGCCACCATATCTTAGCTATAGCGCAGCCCACATCTGGTGACCCCGACTGAACAGGAAATCGCACCTTGCTGTATGGCGAACGAGCACCAAGCTGATATTCAAGAGCTCCAGGAGCATATCAAGGCAAAACGCCGCTCACATCAAAACTTCATTCAACCATGATCGGCACCATTATTGAATCGATCACAACAACAACACCGCACTTCGTCGATCAGCCGGCGGAAAAAATTGATACAGAGGATTTCATAACACCGAAAGATCCCGATGAAATACGTTTCAGGATCGAAAAGTTCGGTAAGATATACTTGATAAGAAAAAAGTCTATAACATTTTTAATACACATGGAAAGGTAAACTGATTATATAGGTGTTGCAGTTGAAAACGGAATCGTCATTCGAAATCAAGTAAACTAGCATTCTTGGAATCCAAAACAATTCGGTGTTTTGTCTACTTTTACGATTAAAACAAGATCATTAGACTCGGTAGTTTTAGGTAGAAGGCAAAAGGATGCCTGCAGCAATTCGTTAGATATATACAGGTAGATTAAATTCTTGACTTCTTTAATAAATTCAATGTTTCATTTACAGTTCAAGAAAACAATGGTAATTGGGCAAGCCCTGCTGCCAGAATGCGTACAAATACACAAGTAAACTTAGTAGCCAGACAAGGTTCGAAGACACTCAAACTAAACCCCTTGGCCCAATATGTGGCGGCACGGCAGAAGTAAGTATTTTTTTTTCTGACTATTACATCCCTGACAGGTCTGCACAGAATAATGGGCCGGATATTTTAGTAATTTCGCTGTTGCATGTTTGGAGATGATGTTTGATACTAGATTGTGCCAGTGGAAAATGGTATGGTACACTACGATCCCTTTGCATGCAGAGTAATACTGCAGGTACTCGTTTTTCTTTGACGAATTGCTTCAGGGCTTCCTGAGCAGGTTTTGATACGCGAGAAGGGGTAGGCAGCATATTGCATTCAACGATTAACTGGTATCGTAAGATTGTGTCGATTATTCCCACTAATAACCTATACCGAGTGTAGGATTAATTACTCTGTAGTAGAAACTCGAAAGGTTCTTACTTGTTCAGATGGTCGTTAAGGATAATCCTTAAGCCCATTTCTATTGCATAATATATATACTGGAGTATTTCATGCTTTTTAAACAAAATACTGCGATCGAAGGATCGAACGCTGGAAACATCCCGAGTGGTAAAATTCATTATTGTATATAGTTTAACAAACATCGACCATTAAAAGTAATTCGTTTCTTTTGTTGCAGGTCGCGAAAGAAGAAGTAATTGAGGAAACGTTGTTGAACCCCTACATTTATCTAATTTGATTTCGCGGAGAGTCCGTATATGCCTTATACTATGCCTTATATTGTACCTTAAGAACCTGTTTCTATTTCATTATTTCTGATTCTAAAAATTATATTTTTCTACTTATTTTCAAAATTGATTTTTTATTCTGTTCCCAAAAGCTTGCAAGATAAACATAAAATAAAAGGGGGACATGATTATGTTAATCGTTGTATATTAACCATTCACAATGTAGAGTTGACAATTAAAACGATTTAACTTATCTAGAATTTTATGAAAATGCAGAGTGCCCGCAACAGGTCGTTATTACAATTAAGTATCCAACGTCATTACACAAATTTACAACTATTACAACAAATCAATTAGACGCGGTGGTATTACTTCAGGAACAAAGGATGCCTTATCGACTAACATAGAGTAAGGGGGCGGCATGCTTCAGTTTATCGTCTTTTATGAACGAATGACATAGTTTGATTGCCAAACTGGAACGAATTTGGAACATTAAATTTTTTAGGCAGCTTATGGGATCTCGATTCTTTGGGAGAGAAAAAGGCGAAAAAATATTTATCAAGCCGAACACCAGCATACAAATGGAAATAATATACAAAAGTTTGCCATGTATACTGAAACAAGAAATAAGGCTCTAATATTTTGTATATTTTAGAGGGGGCAACATTTCTATTAATATATTATTATATAGGTCAAATTTCATTAGCAATGGCAGTATACAGATAGATTACAGCAACTAGGAATTATAGACACAATAGTTCTACACACTTCTACATTTCAGTTTTGAACCGTTTACGAAGAAGGATCACCCGAGTTCGACATGTGTCCATGTTTCATGGATGGACACTTCATCATGACAATGCTCCCTGTCATGCATATCGCGAGCCGTGACTAAATTTTTGGAGGCCAAAAACATTTCTGTGCTACCCCACCCACCCTCCAGCCCCGATATTGCCCCTGCAGACTTCTTTCTCTTCCCCCGTCTCAAAAGCAAGCTCAAAGGTCACCATTTTTCCGACATGTCCGAAATCCAGAGGCAGACGACGAACGTTTCGAAGTCGCTGACTTCAGAGGACTAGGGAGCATGTTTTAAGAGCTGGAAAAAACGTTGGCGCAAGGTCGTTGCTCTCAAAGGACAATACTGTGAAGGCATTTAAGCCCAAAAGTGTGTATTTTTGCTTAATACACGTTTAATGACAATAATCCGGTTATTTATTTGCCACACCTCGTAAAATGGAAGAACACTTCTGCCTGTACATAAGCGTATGGGGCCCGCGAAGCGCCCTCCAGGGAGCAGTCTTTTAGTTTGTTCATCCAGCATTAAAGTGTTCTTCGTGAATTGAAAATTTGCAAAACATTCCGGGGGAGGGCAACCAGACCCCCCAAACCCCTCGCACAGGGGCCGCAAAATGGGCTGCGCCACAGTTTCGGTTTCGCACAAATTTTGTCAGTGCAAAATCTTGCAACGTCTCAACGCAGATCAGATTTAAAATCTTCTGCCGCAGCATCTTCGATGACGTCTGTATGTTTTTAGTCCAATTATTTTTAGTAGTGGTTTTTAGTATTTTGATTTTAACCGATAGTGTCCCTAGTTTTGGAAGTAGTTTTAAGTGTTTTAAAATGAGTAGGTAATAATTTTACGATAGTAAAAATAACCGCGGCAAAGACAGCATCTCACATGAAGGCTTTAAGTATTACAAATTTCGCCCTCAAAATGCCAGTATTCCTTTCTCATTTATTTTTTGTAGAATCGTAATATTTTTCGAATTTTTTGACCGTGAAAAGCAGAGGTTCTGCGATGTTGCAACATAGTGCACTAAAATATGGCAATGCTTACCTTACAGAATCAAAAGTGTGCGAAAGTGATAAACTGCCGCAAAATGAGATCCTTGCCTGAATTAATCCTCGCGGCGCACAGTGGATGGAGCCAATGAAAGAGGTCAGACAAAATTTAGAAACTTTAAAGGCTTTCAACTCCGTCCATACAAAACGTCGAGGTTTTAAAAGCGGTTCCATTAGTTTCCTCGTGAAATTTTCAACTATAGTGGGACCCTTAAAATTTTCAAATGTGACGAGAACATCAAAATTTTTATATTTCGGTGAAAATTTCATGTCCGATCCCTCGGATTGACTCGATCCACTGTGCGACGGGTCTGCTGTCGCCCGCCGCGTCTACACCGTGGCCTCAGAAATCCGTGAAAACTCACAACTTGCTGCGACGAAGTTCGTCTAACGATTAAATAACCACGAGTTCCCAGCTGATTCCACTAAATAATTTACTTTTTAAAGACCCTGTACGATGAGATGATATCAATATTCTGACGAGTTATTATTCAATACCGCCCATGAAGATAATTTTATCTCGGCTTCAATGCCTTGCGTTGCGTTTATGCTATCATTCAGTTCTAGTTAAACGACCTCTGTGCCCACAAAATGTTGCGATTCCTGCTATTTTGCGTGTATGCCTTTCATCAAGTGAGTGTAAATGAATACAATTTGAATAGTGGTTTCATATCAATGAGTGTTACGCTGATTGCTCTATAAATCGAAATGTAACTATATGAAATTTTCCATTCCGGATGCTCCCGCACGAGTAAAAACTGTCAACGAAACGTACGGTGATTACATAGTTGCACAGCTTAACGAAATGCCAACTGATGTTCAAAAACGGAAACGGACAGTAAAACGATAAGTCACAAGGAGGGATTTATTATGTTACCCTCACTAAAGGAACAGAAACTGAATTCCGCATGGTGAAACCGAGGCCCTTATTCCTTAGTGACACATGAGACATTCAAACATTATCCCACTGGATCTCCACAGAGCTTCAAATAAAAGATTTTTCCGTTAAATTATCTGGAAGCATACGATAACTGTAAAACTTCTCCCTGCCCATTCGGGTCCGTTCCTGTATTCCGCTCCGTTTCCATCTCCTCTTACTCATTTTCCCCGTTTTGTTCAGTCCCCTTCTGTAGACTGATCAGTGACTGCGTCATTCGATATGGTATCGAGCTCTTGATTCAAACCAAAACGAACTAACAAAACCTCATGGGCGGATTCTACATGAGTCAATTGTGTTAATATATTAAAATTTAGTTAATTGACCGGTCATAAATCAACTGAGTACTCATTAAATACAAGAAATTACGATTGTAAGAAACACTTTGACGCATTTTACCATCGTGGCGCAAATGCGCGAGTCAGAGACCAGGTTATGTGTTTGTTTACGTTTGAACAATGTCAAAGCCACTTAGTCCACTCCGTTCCGTTCCAATAATACCGTGACGTTTTGCTCGGTCTCGTTCCACGTTGCGGTTCTTTGCACGTTTAGTTCTTTTTTTTCGAAATATAAGTCACGTGATATAATTGGACGTATTTCTGCTAAACGGAACTATTTGTGGGAAAAATGGGGGTGCGCTCTACAAAGTTACCTAAAAGACAGTGTAAAAAAGGGCGTGATTCCTTTTGGAGATATGGAAAAGCGAAATACATATTACATTTTGTTCATAGATAATTGTACTGCTCATCCTCCTGAAATTGAAGGTTTAACTTAAGTCAGAATTGAATTTTTCCCGCCCAATGCAACGTCCATTCTTCAGCCCCTTGACCAAGGAGTGATAAAAGTAATGAAACACAATTATCGAAAATCAGTCGTTCGGGGGCTTCTTAACTTTATAAACCTCCCAGAGAAACCGCCATCACAAGAACTTAAGATCGACATGTTTACAGCTATGAATTATGTGGCAAACAGCTGGAACTCGGCCACAAGCTCGACAATTGTTAATTGTTTCAAAAAGGGTGGTTTCCAAAAACAGATGTTTCCACGCAGCGTAACAGGTCTCTCAACACTCTCTATATTGCGCATTTTTTGTGTTTTTCGTTGTAAAAATCCGGATTTTTTGAAAAAAAAAAAAATTCGACATAAGCGGCTTTCCACCCGGCTTAAAAATTCGCGAATTCGTCTAAAGTGTAGTTTTTTTTAACGTTGTTCCATATGCAACGTCGCGGGACCGAAGACAATTTCGACTTAAGCGGATTTTCGTCTTAATCGTAGTTCGATTTAGCGAACTTTTACTGTATTACATTCTACCGAACGGGATTAAGTGCCAACTGTATGCGGCACTTATTAGAGTACCTACATAGGAAGAGTGTGGACAAGTCGAAAATTTTGAGGTTAGGTGATGGCGCTAGACCCCCAAAGGGTAGGCAATCTATGAATTCAAATTATCCAGTGTGATTTATAATGGTTTTGGCATAAACTTACTCATTTTTGCGGAAGAACGCTCAGTTATGAATTTTCTTGTCCATTTTCGTTTGATATTAAAGTCTAAAGATTGACAGTGACATTTTTCGTTTTCAGAGGTTATCTACCCTTTCGGGCCCGAAGAGCTACATATTTCGAGTTGTCCATACTCTTCCTATATAGGTACTCTGGCACTTATGAGCCGTAATTATGAGACAAGAGCGTTGTGGATAGGGCTCATAAGTTAATCCGGACGAGGGCGATTGCGGTGGCGGCTTCGTCGCCACTGACGTCACTGGCGCTTTACAATTCTCATTCATCCTTACGGCCTTCGACTAACGAGCATACCCCTTCTTTCCCGCCGGCCTCTGGTTCCGTTCTTCAGAGATGCGTTCAATGGCCCACTAGACAAGGTACGAATTTAAGCATTCTGATACATGTTTCTCAATCAGAATTTCACGTAGAACACGATTCGCGCAACGAAAATTACCAAAATCAACTTCTAACAAAGATATTAACGTTTTTATTTCACATTAATGACGAGGAATTTGAACTGCTGAGTTACAAGAAACTCAAAGCTCTACGCGAGTCAAATCGCGCACTAGAACGGTTTCAGCAGGCTTTTCAATCGAGCAATGTTCATTTCCCACCATGTGTTGTCCAAACTATGAGCAATTTGCTACAGTTGAGCCAAAGCATCAAGATTGAGTTGCCAGATTTTTAAATCGCAGAGACTGTCATGATAACGTTTAGCGCGCGATGTGAATCACGGAGAGCGTTGAGTTTTCATGAGCGGGTAATTTGAATTCACGCATCCAAAATCATTAAATATCTTCGTAAAGACTTGATTTCGGTATTTTTCGTTAAGCGCATCGTGTTTTACGTGAAATTCGGGTTAAGAAACATGTATCGGAATGTTTAAATTTGTACCTTGCCTAGTGGTCCATCGTTAGATCAAGGTTTGCTACTATACATAATAGACAGAACACGTAGACAAAGACACGAAAAAAGCGGTAACGTATTCCCTGCGTCAAGGAATCGAGGGAAACTACAAGTAGGAAGAGGAGAAGAAAGAATAATATGAATTTTTTTCTGTGCGTCACAGAAATTCTTTGTCTTGGAAACCTTGTAGGTATACAACCTGTTTCAGATTGAACAACCTTTTCATTTCCTGCGCCGGAGCGAATTTCCGGACCTCTGCGCAGTTTTACTACCCATAATCCAGTCAATCCGCTATACAAACGATAAAAAATGTATATTCTCTGCCATTATTGGTACAAAAAGTGCACCTGTTTTCGGGATGGATAGTGCTTCACATTGGCTCGGATAATGATTTTTATCCAACGATGAGACGTGCTCAGTAAATCATGCATAGTAACTGGCGATAGTAAAATCGCAAATCAAAAAATGTATTCTTCCCTCCCTCTCTTTGAATCAACTGTCTTTAACATTTCTCATGATGAGGATCTGATTCAAGAAACTTATTGTTCATTTCTTTACAGACAGTTAATGGATTTCTAGACCTATCAGAAGGAGATGTAGAACCTGTGGACAAAGACGGAAAAACGTTGCACTTGCAACCTCTTGCGGTAAGCAAATCTCCACCTTTGATGACATTAATTTTGTTTGGGAGTGCCAACTCCCTGCCGGGTTGTGAGAGGACCGATTTTGTAGCGATTAGGCGTCGCAGAGCGCCAGAGAGCACTATGAAAGCGACTATGTATGGTTGGTAGAAACGTTTATTTGATGCTTTTAACATTTAAGCTATAAACACCTTAGAGGAGAGTCTGATGGAACCGCTTATTACGCGTTGGTTGGGTGTTCCACAACTGGCAGCAACTTGAAATTTTCAAATTTTTTGTTGAGGAATCTTTTCAGTTCTCAACATTATATATTTGTTGATGTGATATTTCGGCAGTGTGGCGCTTGCTTTCAGCGTTGGATATAGATACTTGGTGTCTCGTCACAGAAGAGAGAATCTTCGTTAGAAATTGATTCATGAGTATGCATGGATTACAGAAATGCCTCTGAGGAGTTTCGGAAGTAGCTAGCTTGGATTTGATGTAGTGAACGGGTTTTTACCGCGTGAGTTATACGCGCGATTGATAAGCTTTTTGATAAATCGAGACGGAACTATTTCAACTTTCTATCCAATTTTTGTTTTGAAAAAGGCTAAACCTGGGAAATATGAGATTAACTTCGGTACGCTAGTAGATGAATTCAAGAACATAGAGGTCCAGCGCCAATCCGCGTTGAAAGGAATGTTGCAAAATCCCGATGTGACAAGGAGCAACCGGACAGCGAAATTTCTGGAGGTTGCCAGGGAACTGGATACAGCTTTTATGCAAATACGGATCTACTGCGATGCTGCTCAAGTTGTCTTCAAAACTACCAACTTTACCCACCCAGACAATAACTTCCTTCAGGTAACTTACTTTGGATTTCCAGTTGGCATGTTTTTAATACTTAATGAGACTTCCTTCATAAGCCTCTACATTACTAATTGAGATTTAGAAATTTCAAATGAAAGTATTCATAAATTACATGGAAAGTAACTCCCAGGAAACTTTGGCAACATTAGAATTTATTGCGGCGTTATTCCTTGGTGCAGTAGTATATTCTAATCTCTGGAGATACGAATATTCTGACACGTGAAAGCTTTTTGGATCTAAGTACACAGTAAAAAGTGTGTTCTACGAGTAAATTGTACATGCGACACACGTGTATGTGTTATTATAACACACGCTCTGTGTTATTAACCCGCTCAACTCAATTGGCGATTTAAAACGATGAATAGATATCGCCTGCAGCATTCGTCGGTAGCCGCGAACTGTGGGCTGATTGTTATAATTGATAGATAAAGCCATAGACAAAGAAGACATAAGGAGTATCGATCCTTGGTTGAAATGCGTGGTTCTCATACACTAAGAAGGGAAATTATTGACGGGTTTCTCGTGGGTTGCCGTTTTTTAGTCTGTTCCTTACTCTGTTAAAATCAATGATTTACTCTGAGTGAAAAGCCGGCGTGAAAAAAAAATCTGAGTGAATAGATCAGAGCGTAAATATCATCAACGACGGACGAATTAGGTGAGGTACCTCAAGTAACGTGAATGCAGGGCCTCCAGGTACGAGCGCCAAATGGCAAAGTGGTAGCGCACTCGTCTATCACCGCCGCGACTCGAGTTCGAATCCATGCTGCGGCAGTTCCGTTTTACAATTGGACGTATTTCTGCCAAACGGAACCATGTGCATTGAGACATGAGACCTGAGACCCATTAGAATATGTGCGTAACAGGGCTCACATCATAATGCACGTAGTTCCGTTTGATAGAAATACGTCCAATTGCCTGTCAGATTTTCACTCCCGCCAGAGAGCGGATTTCGCGCCGGATTCATGTACTCAGAGTAACAGGTGGTCAAAATAGCAACTGAGTAAGCGTGGATTTCGCGGCGGGATTTTTAATAGTGTATGTCCATTGCAAGCACCCGCTTCTACCAATAGAATCCCTCTATATCCTTTCTGTTTTCTTCGTCTATAACTTAGTCTATCAATATCAACAATCAGTCCACTACTCCGGCATTCTTTAATTTGAAGGTGGTTAAAATAACTTAAGCTTGTGTTTCATGAACTGAGCCGGGTGGCCGCAGAGCGGTTAGAAAATATCGCTGGTCTGTTTCTAGTTCTCGACTGCGGTTACCCGTTGAGGTATCTCCGTAGCTCCTACTGCCGCGGCCGAACACACACGCCGATTAAATAACACGCCACTGTTTAAATCATATACTCGGTGTGTTTCACGATGACAACGCTTGGTTTTTCATAAATCAAACACAACTTTGCGTTTAAATTTTTAAACTGTGTAATCATCCAAGCGCAAGCGAGCAACACCGTTCAGTAGCAGAGTGTGTATTTACAAGTACGTAGTAGAGCGTAGTTTGCCTTCATTTGGAAGAATAGGCAAAAATAGATCCTAGGCGTAGGACCGGTCGTATTTTTCAAGATTAATTTGTTTCCCTCATGTCCATGTGCTTCAATGTCTACTGGTGACGAAGTTTGTGATGGATACCTTCTCTCTTTCGCAAGACTAGCATTATTCTGTCTTATCAAAGAGAGAGGAATTTGAGACAGCTTCGGTTGATTTGAGAGGAAATATTTTGATTATTTTAAGATTTTCAGCGGCTATACAATTTTTTATTTTTTAAAACAACATAATTTATTCAACATAAGTATCACAGCTACCAGAAAAATACTTACGGTATCTATCGGTATAGGCTAAGGATAATACTAAGTGTGAGTATCACGTACGATAAGATTATGAATTAGGCTTATTATTATTAGATTGCTCTATGGTGCATGGTGATGGTAACTGTTCAATAATACATAGGTAATACATACATGGTAATAACATGAGTAGGATATGGAATGAACTAATTGGGGCAGAGGACCTCAATCGTAGTTAATGGAGATGTTGCATTGTTGCATGTGTGAGGAATTTGCGATTTGACTATTGATCCTTACGTAAAAGTTCGCGAGAAACAAGATGGTGCCACTAGTTTTCTCTGGAATCAACTTCCAAGTTCAAAAAAAGCTCTCAAGTTGAGACCAAGATGGAGGGGATATCCCACCCTACCCTGAGAGTCCACCTCTACATCAAGACAAACTCTCCATGCAAAGATAGGGAGCAAATACATTGACAGGGCTGCCACTTTATTTGGGGATTCCAAAACTGAAAACACGGCAACCCTGCTAATGTATTTGCTCCCTATCTTTGCACGGAGAGTTTGTTTTGATGTTAGAGGTAGACTCTCAGGATAGCGTGGGATATTCCCTCCATTTTGGCCTCAATTTGAGAGCTTTTTTTGAGCTTGGGAGTTGATTTCAGAGAAAACCCAGTGGCACCATCGTGTTCCTCGCGAACTTTTACGTAAGAATCAATAGTCAAATCCCAAATTCCTCACACATGCAACATCTCCATTGCGCGGTAAGGGATCTACATTTTCTCATGCGTCCAGCGTGATTTTCGAGCGAATTTACCTTTAAAAACTGTATCTCTTTCGTGCTACAGACCCATTATTGCTGATATTCCACCGATGATTTTCCCGTACTATGCATCTTTCCCCACTCCGGAATATTCAGATAGATACCAACACTAACATAGAATTAACTGTTCCAGGCAGCAGCTGTCATGAAAAAAGAGAAGAAGTTGGACGATCAGATAATGGAGTTATCTGATCTATTTGACAGGATGGAAACTAGTGTTAAAGATTTGACGGAGGAGGAATGCGATCCTTTACAACCTTTCGTGTTGTGTATATCATACGGACAAATGAAATTAGAGCAGTTAGCCGCACAATTCAACAAAGACTATGAGAAAACTTTGCTAATCGCCGGAGGAAAAGCTCGGACTTAGCAGATACCCTTGCATTCCGCGAGAGTAGCGGCTTGTTATAATCGAATGGCTTGGAGGACAAGGCGCATAAGTGCAGTTTTTGAAAAAATGGACCACTAGACAATGTACAAAATCAAGCATTCTGAAACATATCTCCCAACAAAAATTTCATGTAGAACACAATTAAAGGAACGAAAATGGACCATTAGACAAGGTACAAATTTCAGTTTTCTGATACATGTGCTTAACCAAAATTTCACGTAAAACACGATGCGGACAACGAAAATGACCGAAATAACCTCCTTACGAAGATATTAAATGATTCTTGATGCGTAAATTCAAACCACCCGCTCATAAAAACTCAATGCTCTACGTGATTCACATCGGGCGCTAAACGTTATCATGACAGTATCTACGATTTAAAAATCTGGGAACCTCAATTTTGACTCTTTGGCTCAGCTATAGCAAATTTCTTATAGTTTGAACAAGATATGGTGGGAAATGAACATTGCTCGATTGAGAAGCTTGCTGAAACCATTGTAGTGCGCGATTTGACTCTCGTAGAGCTTTGAGTTTTTTGTGAGCGGGCAGTTCAAATTCCTCGTAACCAATGTAAAATAAAAACGTTGATATCTTCGTTAGGAGTTAGTTTCAGTAATATTCGTTGCGCTAATCGTGTTCTACGTGAAATTCTGATTAAGAAACGTGTATCAGATTGCTTAAATTCGTACCTTGTCTAGTGGTCCATTACTGAAACTGACTCCTAACGAAGGATGTTCCATGTTTCATGATTCTTGAGGCGTGAATACAAACCTCCCGCTCATGAAAACTCAAGGGTCTGCGTGACGTTAAATGGCACACTAAACGTTACCGTGGCAGTCTCTGCGATACGAAAATATGGCAATCTCAATTTTGACGCTTTGGCTCAGCTACAGTAAATTATTTACACTTTGAACAAATAAGGGTGGGAAAGGAACAATGCTTGATTGAGAAGCCTGCTGAAACCCTTGTAAGGCGCGATTTGACTCACGTAGAGTATTGAGTTTCTTGTGACCGGGCACTTCATATTTCCCGTAACCGATGTACTGTACTATAAAAACGGTAAGATCTTAGTTCGGAGTTAATTTCAGTAATTTTGGATGAGAGAATGATGTTCTACGTGAAATTCTGGTTCAGAAACAAGTGACAGAGCGCTTAAATTCGCACCTTGTCTTGGGGTCCATTGAGATATTATTGGTTTCAAGAAAAATTAGTCTTAAAGCATATTCTGTGAAAAATTCGCTCCCAAATTTCAATTTTTAGGCATCAAAAAGTAAGTTAAAACTTGCTTTCCGCCATAAAAATCCATGTCATTTCAAAGGTTCAAACACGGATTTCTCGAAGAAGCAAAAGCAGCACTTAGGCGGCTTGTCCTCCGAGCCTTTCAATTTTGAAGACTCTTACCGTGTATTTAACGGCGGCAGATCTAAGCTGCCAAAAAAAAAAAACAATATTACAGGAAACCCATTAAGTCTAAGATTAATAGTACAAGTACAAGGATCACAGCCATTTCAAAGAGTCTGCTGATCAATCTGGTTTAAATTTCGTAATTAAAAAATATGATTTTGTCGTCAATAAATTATATTTCGATTAATAACAGTGACACTTATTTACTCTTTCAAAATAATAGTGGCTATTGAATTAATTATCCTTTTTCGACGAAATGAGAAGGTTAATAACACAAATTAGAAAAAATAATTACATTTACTCCTTAATACAAGGAAATATGTTACTCTGGTAACAAACATGAACCGTGAAATTATTCTAATAGTAAAATCGTCTTAATTAAATTTGGGTAGGTAATTACTGATGCTTGGATACACAATTTTGACGCATCTTATTTCTAGGCGAAAAATTTCGAGTGAGAAAGATTTCTTAGCATTAGGTCATAATACATTCTAAAGCAGAGCAACTTTTGTTTTCGAACCATTCAGTAGGTATAGAATTAATTTTGTGGGAGAACTCAAACGACTGACAGCACCAAATAATTTTATAACAAAAGCAAAACGAAAATTAAACACTCGAGGTGTGATGATATGGCCTTTGCAACACGGGAAAGCGCATACCAAGGGCGGCGAGGATGCCTGCAGCATGACCGGACATGAGAGAGAGAGAGAGAGAGAGAGAGACAGGTGGTCACTCGCCCATCGGCCAAACCACCCCAAATTCCTCTCACGGCCGCCCGAGTTTTTTTTATGGGCCGTTATCACTGTCCCGCTGCACCGTGCATCCTCGCCTCCAAAACCACGGGGGGGCCCAAAGAGGCTTTTAGGCTCTTTCGAGCTACGGGGCCCACACGAGTCAGCCCAAACTGACCAATCGAAAACCGCGACTTTGCGTGGGCCCCAAATCAGCCGGTCAGCCAAGGGCCAACCTGCCTGGTCCACGACCTCAGCGATCCCGGAGTTGCAAGGCCGTGCCGCAGCATCCCTCTCCCCGACCTAGGGCAACCAATGGCCTGTTGAAATCAGCTAATTAGCAATTCTAACATATGTACCTATAGTAATTCTATACAGTTGGTAACCTATGTGCATATTGTATTCTTAGGTTGGTAGTTCCAACTTTTTCCCTAGTGTGTGTGGCCCCCCTGCGTGGGATCATGGTCAGGTTTTGTTCGCGTCTGTTCTTCGTTGAATAAATGATTCGTGCACTCGTGCGATGTTAAGGCTATAAACTCAGAAGTTTTTCTTCGCCCTTTACTACAGGTTATGGGCCCAGCACGCTGCCTGGTCCACGACCTCAGCGATCCCGGAGTTGCAACGCCGTGCCGCAGCATCCCTCTCCCCGACCTAGGGCAACCAATGGCCAACTTTGGGGGTTGTCCGGCGAAAATGGCAAAAGGGAGGACGATAGGTGTCCGGGGCCTCCCCGAAAGAGGAGGCCACGGCACTCTCGCCGCGACTCTCAGAGGACACAGATTTTCTTTGGAGATTTGCTCTGATTGTTGATTCCGTCCTATTTTCGATCTTGCTACATTTTTTTTTTTGAGTTTCCTGATTTTGCCGTTGTTATATTTTTTCCCTGATTTTTCCTGATCGTTATTTTTTTTCTCCTGATTTTTTTTTTATTTTTGTCCATCGTTGTCCATATTTTCCTGCATATTGTGAGAGTGGCCCAGGGACCTGGCACCCAAGTCGAGGGCGCTGACAAAAACCCATACGTCACGGGACTGGGCAGCGGTGGAGCACCCCCAGCGAGAGGGCAGAGAGGTAGCATCCCTTTTGCGCATGCGCAGGGCGAGGCTTGACCGGTTCCGAGTCAAGTGGAGGGGGTAGCCAGAGCCGGAGACCTAGGGAGCTCCTCGGAGCTGGGCCCTGGGATTATTCTTGGAGAGACTGGCGATCGAGCGGCACTAGTCCGCTCCTCATCCCATCAACCCAGAGTCAACCCATATTAGTTACATTCTCTCTCTTTTTCCTAGTTATCTGGCAGCCTGACACGCGCGGCCTTTCTTTCTAGGCCGCCTGGTCAGCATAATTTCATAATCTTATTGCTAATCATGACCCTTGTTCCAAATTTTGCCTTATTAAGACTATTTCGGTGACTTTCGTGGAAAGTCAAATCCCCCTCTAGTCCAACTTGCCGTCCGTGACGCGAGTTGCCCTACTTGTCCAAGCCCCGATCGGCATCAGCTGATGGAGCTTCGGAAAGGGAGGAGTTTCTTTTGTAAAAAATAATGTTAATCTAAAAAGTTAGTCGAAAAAGGAGGAAGTCTTGAATTCATTGTTCTCTATAGTTTTTCTTCTGATATAAAAGTTCATTCCCACCCAAAAGTGAGTATTTTGTCTCCTGCGGTTCCTGTAAAGTTCCTGACCCCCCAATATTCTTCATGGTCCCTCGGGCCGGATATGAACCAGCGACCTCCAAAGCCCCGATCGGCATCAGCTGATGGAGCTTCGGAAAGGGAGGAGTTTCTTTTGTAAAAAATAATGTTAACCTAAAAAGTTAGTCGAAAAAGGAGGAAGTCTTGAATTCATTGTTCTCTATAGTTTTTCTTCTGATATAAAAGTTCATTCCCACCCAAAAGTGAGTATTTTGTCTCCTGCGGTTCCTGTAAAGTTCCTGACCCCCCAATATTCTTCATGAGGCTAAAACATAACGCCCAAGGTAAAGAACCTGAGGATACTAATTCTAAGAAGTCAGAAAGATTGGCGAAGTCGGTCAGAAAGTTTTCAATCATATTACATCTTTTCTAAATTCTTTAAATTCAGTCTAGTTTTCATTATGTCTTATATTGCATTTTTCCTCGTCGTGATTTTCTACCTTCCATCTCTCCACCTGTTTCCCGTTTATCCCCAATCCGATCGATCTGAGTTGGGCGATAGGTCTGTGTCGATCCAACCCACCGGAAAATTAATCGGGTATGACTGTCGAGGTATTGACTCATCATTTTCTACTATATCCCTCCTATCAGGCCATTCGTGTCAGAAGAAACCATATAAAGTAGAGCCTACCCTTGTTCTGGTTCAACTCCTCCAGCTTGCAACATCCTTTGACATAGAATATATCCAATGTTACGTCCAGAAGACCACCTTTGTTAGAGGCTGTGGCAAATTGGCTGACTATACTTGGTCTTATAAAGGAGGTTTTAAGGAAGAAATTGTCACTTTAAGCAAATCTCAGTGCGAACAGCTGCATCAGACTAGAGTTTATGATTTAGAGGGCGATAGGAAATTAAAAGTAGAAAAAGAGAACATCGAATACACTGGACATTATATCGCCGCAGGATCATTAAACTCAAGGGGCGACTGTTCTGGTGCAGCCTATAATTTTAATGGATATGAGTATGACGATGCAGTTGCAGAGGTTCACCTTAAAGTGAGGATTTCTTCAGGGACAGCCCAATACGTCAAGGAGACCGGGAAAATATCTTTAGAGTCCGGTTATGAGGCCTCATATTCATCGGGATTTATAATGGATGTTATGAACGGAGTTACATACTGGGATCAGTCAATTAAAGGTGATTGCGATAATCCGGAGAGAAACTTTAATGTCTTATTTACTGGAGTAGCCAATCTAACAGTAGGAGTTAACTCTTCACTCAACATGGTGACTGTGGAATCCGGAAATACAGCATTCTCTATAGAAATAAAAAGATCTCAGTTTGTTTGTGGATACGACTTAAAAGCTACAGAGCATCCCCAACTATTTGCCTTCGTTACAGAGTCTTTAACATCTCCAACTCCTGTGAAGTCGAGTTCATCTCTAAACCCAAAATCTATAGATCTATCGCTCTACATGAACACG